ACGCCCGTGCATTCCTCTCTTTCTGTCTCTCTCTCTCTGATTCTCTCTCGATTTAAAACCGTTCTCATAAAAATTAAGGATCGTGACCATAAACATTTTAATCGCACGTTTCATATTCAAAGCTCAAAACAATACTTACATACATACTCGCAAATGCAATTTCTACCCAAGCGGAACCTTCCAGTCGAACTATAAAGTCTGAGTCAGGCACACAATGGAATTTGTTTGGGAATATGCTAATTTTTACACCACGTCTTAATTTAGGTAATAAGATGAGACGCGAGAGTAGAGTCGATCATGACTAGATGACACTGCCTGTCTATACTATCACACCCTATCATCACCCTATTCCATGGAAAACATTCAAAAAAGGTCAGAGGCAAAATATCAAGTATAGTTTCTTATACTCGTAGTTAATTATTTTTAGCATTAGTAATTTTTTGTTCAGATAGCATGTATCAAAAATAATCACATAATTCACTTCCTCAGAAACTTAATTGGTTGATTGATTAGAAAAAAAAAGGTTTTAACGCAAAGAAAGGCTACGATAATAGATATATATGTATATGATGTGAGTACATATACATACATACATTGCAACAGGTTTTGACATAACTCAAAAAGATTTGGCTAAGGTCGGGCTACCTACCTACACTTAGAGAAAAATGGCATTTTTATGAATTTAGAATTTACATTGACCGAAATATCTGATTACGAAATAATTAAAACAAAATCATATATTCAAATTTGTAGGTAATATATAGTTTTAATCTATATATGAAAATATTTAATTTAAATATGAAATATGTTTGCTTTTAATATAAAATATAATTCAATCAAATAATTTCTAAATGGAAGTGCTCTCTCGAATAAAATTTATTGGTCTATATTTTCAAATCTGTTTCCCATGTCTTAGTACAACCGATTTGTATCTGCTGATCAGTCTGCAGTCTGATTCAGACTGCAGTATCTGAACCAGATCATATAATTATTATAGCCAAAATGATGAAAACAATTTTCTCTCGCACACGTTTCATGGTCGGCTTTGCCTATTGCAAAAGTGAGCGCTTAGATCTCAGAGACTATAAGAGCTAGAGCAACCAAATTTGGTATCCACACTCCTGTGATGTCGAACCTGAACAAGTATATTTAAAAAATTCCCCCCATCCCTTTCCGCCCCCGCAAAGGACGAAAATGTGTGGCATCCACAGATCTCAGATCTTGTGGCTAGAGCAACAAAATTTGGTATCCACACTCCTGCCGGAACTCACTATAAAACATATATCTAAAAATTTCGCCCCACCCCCTTCCGCCCCACAAAGGCCGAAAATCTGTGACATCTACAATATTGAAGATACGAGAAAACTAAAAACGCACTATCTACCAGTTTGCCAAATCTGAATCAGATCGGATCATTTTTATAGCCAAAACTAAAAAATCAATTTGCAGTGGCTACGCATCGCCCGATGACATGTTCAGACACGTTTTTTTTATGTCTCTCTAGCCATACTGACTATGTATCGTGTATAAATGTAGAGTTGCGGTCGCAGCAGCAACTCACAACGTTTCGCCGTATTATTTATGGAATGGACAGCTCAGCTTTTGCTGGTGCGGTTCTGATTGCAGACAAAACGGATTTCCCATCTGAGTTGTTCCCATCCAACAATATCCAGGGGATCGAATTCAATGCAGTCAAAGTTCGTATTGGGCAGCATTTATCTACCTAAACTGCTCTTACATTTCTCCCAAGTCTGATGCTGAGGTTCACATAAACCACGTTTCTGCCATTTATACTGTTGTATTGGCATTAGTTTTGCGCTAATTAGATTATTGTCATAGGGGACTTTAACTTACCATTCCTTTCTTGGCTGCCTTGTGATAACGCTAGCCTGTTGCTACCCAACTGCCACAATGTTATTATCAATGGGCTAAGGGATATCTCCCTTGTCCAAATGAATACAATTAGAAATAATAGGCTCAGACCTCTTGACCTTACGTTCGTCATTGATGCTTCTCTAGCAACGATAGCCAGAGTAAGTCCAATATCACTTCCTGAAGACACTTCCCTTCAATGTGTCCGATCTAGTTGTACTGACATTTCTATGGAATCTAGTCATACAAAGTTTTTTCGAAGAACTAATTTCGCTGAGCTAAGTCTCTCGAAAGTTGATTGGTCGTTTCTTCAATTATTACCGGAGATCGATGCAACTTTCGACTTGTTTTGTAATACTATTTATTCCGCCCTTAATACATTTGTTCCGGAAATGACTGTATCGGTATCGCCCAAATCTCATACATAATTATAGAAAAACCAGATTATATAAAAAGTACCAGAAAACTGGCTCCATGTCTACCTCAGTATTCCTCCGCTTGTTATTAATTCCTTACCGTTAATAGTCTGTGATATAATCAATACCTTTCCCCATGTAGTAGAAATTTCCGTAGTGATCCTAACAGATTCTTTTCCTTCGTTAACTCTAAGCGTAAGTCCAATGCATTTCCTCCATCCCTTCAATATCAGAGTAAAACAGAATCCTATGCTGCTGGTATTGCAGATTTATTCGCCACCTTTTTCCCATCAACATACCCGACTCATACATACATATATACAACGCATCCACTCTGGATCCCTACCCTCTACTAGGTTACTGCATTTTTATACCCGATACTCAAGAAGAGTATAGGGGTATATTCGATTTGTGGGGAAAGTGGATGTGTGTAACGCCCAGAAGGAAACGTTTCCAACCCCATAAAGTATACATATATATTCTTGATCAGCATCAATAGCTGATACGTGTTTCGAGTAGGTACTGTTTTGCACCCCACTTCGGCGTTTAAATTCAAAATTTAAATCCAAAGAAATAAGAGCCTTTCGACTCTTACATTTGACGTGATTTACTTCTCGACATTGCCGACAGAATGATATCTATGATTAGTTGTGCAACAATTAGTGACTAAGTGACTTCAAAGACGTGATTTTCTGGGAATAAAATATAATATGTGTTGTTTATGCGGCGTTCTGCTGCGAGCAATACATACGCGAAAACAAAATGGTCAACCGGAGCTGCAACTCACAACAGATCAAGATCTATAATGCACTTATGCATCTAATCTAATGCATCTATAATGGACTTATCTCCACTGAGGTGTCGCAAAGCTTTCCGCCATCCCGAAGCCTGCTTAAATTTACTATACAGACTATCGAGTTAGTGCAACAGGAATTTTTAAATTTTCCCCTTCGTAGACCTGCTTTCATTGCACCAACGCAGAATATTTAATGGGGTACTGTTAGTGCACAAGCTCCTTCTCGGGATAGTTTAACTACCAAACCTTTTTTGGGTTGACTTTGCGGTTCTATATTGACCTACCCGTACTTTTCGGCCTATCCGCTTAACCGGATGTAGGTAAAACTCCGCCAGTATAAATCTTTTAATTATAATTCCCTTTGCCATACCTTATTCCCCGAACTATCCCTTAGGATTATAGCACCTAATATTTATAATTACCTGAACTTAGCAAATTTGTACATTACTGTTCTTTCCTCCTCTGCTGCACTTGTCGCTAGTTATTTTATTATCATAATCCATTATTAGCAGATAATTTGTAACTAAATAAATAGATATTAAATTCGTAAAAATGTATATTCAAATAAAGCGTTTTCGACCTCATAAAGTATATAGAGAAATATTCTTGATCAATAGCTGAGTCGATACAGCCATTTGTCCGTCTGGCCTTCAGTAGAATATGTCAAGGAAATCATACATACATATATTATATATACTAAATCTCTGGTTCTGTTTATCATAAGGCGTTCCGGAGTCAAAGCATGTTCTATGCAATACATAAATAATAAATAAAATATTGTGGGAAAAGAAAAAAATATTAGTTTAAGGCAAAAGCAGAAGATTAATGCGAGTAACTCGATGATACGTTTAATGAAATCATTATGAGAAAAATATTATTGTAATGATGTCATTAGAAGTCTCTGCATTTCTTGGACATACCAAAGAATTACTTACTTTAAGAATAATACAATATATAGCTGACATGTCAATAACCTTTAAATAGTTCCCCTCAATAAATTAAACCTTTATTCATAGAATATCCTAAGGTAAGAACGAATTAATGATACTCTTAATAAATTTGAGAACCTTTGTTTTGAGAGCTGTTGACCATTCGTTGAGCTTTGTCTTCGTAGTGCCAGATGCTAAGGTTGAAAGAAGATGATATACCCGTACGTCCGTCCGCTCACACAGATCATCTTTGCTATTTTTTTATGACAGTTCAATTAACATGAGTATATAATACTTAAATCTTTTCCGACAGAAGAGAACGGAATGAAAATTACGAGTGAATAATTGACACCTTTTCCCTAACTAGACACAGAGCCAGCGGATATCTTGTTTTGTTTGTTTTATTTCAATAATTTAAGTCATTTAAAAATGTACATGTACAATAATATACGTATACACAATAATCCATAATGTACGTATGTATACACAAAAACTTCATAAATAATAAAATGTTCAAGAAACGCATTACAAATGCTATGCATGTACAATATCGAAATCTGGCAGGGCGGTCGCTCCGCTCGCTCGCGGCCGCACGACCACTAAAAGGTAAACGAACGGCCCAGCAAGTGGGTAAAAGTGCGACCACATCCTGACCAAAAAAATACATACATAATTTCACTTTCAGTTTGCATAAACTACATAATACATTTAGTTTGTAATGTCATTTTCATATGTTTGACGCTTACACTTATTGTTCAGATGACCGACGATTTTAGCTAAGTTTTTCTGCTCTTATCGCATTGCTACGGTTGGTGAGTTAATTGGTAGGTTGGTTGGTTTTTTGATTGGTAGGATAGCCATTGCTTGTAAGAAGATTCAATGCCTAATGCTCGTACCTTAAATGCCACACTATACGAGTAAGTGTGAGCCTGATTGCTCGTAACAAATTCTAATACATATGCTTGATAATATTTTCATCAACGACTGTTTTACTGTATAAGCATTATTCCGTAATGCGTCTCTAACCTCGGTTTATTTCTATATATATATATATATATACGTAAGTATATGAATTCATATATCTGTTTAACGACTTCGGCTGCTGCTGCTGCTGCCCATCTGCTGCCAGAGTTCTCCGCTTACGCGGAACAGAGTTCCACATAGTTGGCCGGATATAAGCCAACGCGCCCATTCATGCGTCCCTTACACCAGCCCTGCTCGTCCTCATCTTCGAGCTTTTCAAAAACATCACCTGCCATATGGAAAGACAGAAAGAGAGAGAGAGGGTGAGAGAGGTAACCAGATTAGAGACGAACCAGATCTGGTCAGATGGAAGGCTTCACGCACCTTGTTTGAATGTGAGCTCATCACTTTCAGCCCCCTCGTAATCGTACAGCGCTTTGACTGGCACGCCCGGCTCACCGTTGTCGACCAGCACGTTGTCGGCCTCATCCCACTCCTCCTCCTCGTCGAATGGATTGGAATCGACTTTGCCGTTGCCATTGCTGCACGAGTTTGTATGAGATGTACGAGAGTACACGAATTGAAATCAATTAGTTCAATGAAAATGAGCGCTTCAACGCGACTTGTGTCTGTGGGACCGGCTGCAGGGTGTATCGTAATTCAAAACAATACAAAATGTTTCAACTTACGTTACGCTCGGATTGCGATTCGGTGCTACCGCTACCGCTCCCGCTCCCGCTGACGCCGCTGTTACCGTTGCTGTCGCTGCCGCTGCCGCTGTCGTCGAGCCGGCGGTTGCCGCCGCTGACGTTCTGGTTTCGGTTGTTGTGGCAGAAGATGGCGTTGCCGCTTGTTCGCTCTTGCCGCTCGCTCTGCTGCTTGCGCTGCCTCCGGCGCTGTTGCTCTTCTTGAGACTATTTGTGGAGTGGTATTCCTGTGATGTAAGGGGCGGAGAACAAACCACCGATTAATGAATGAACGAATGAATGAACTTCCTAGGTTTGGCTCACGTGGATGCCCTCCTCGGCGACAGGTCGCTGATTAATGAGCGTTATGGGTGCTGCCGGCAGTGCCTCTTTTGATTTGTTGCCCTTGGCAATGTCGCGGAACTCCTCCGTGTATTCCTAAAAATCCAGACAATAAGCCAATTAAACAACGCCTTCGGAGAGCGCAGGGCACACAGCTTACCACAAAGATTGGCCAGTTCATGGCCATGTTAATACCATGATTGTTTGACCACCACTTCAGATCCTTCTGCTGGTCCGCATTGTTGATCGTATGATAGAATTCGTCATAGATTTGGGGCAGGCTGCAAACAAAAGGAGTTACAATTAGGCCACGCACAAACGGAGCGCAGAGAGATGTCGCAACGAACCTTTGCACTTTGGTGAGATCCAGACTCGAGTGCACATTGAACAGTATGTCCTTGAAGAACTGCAGCCGCGTCTTCTCCATGGTTTGGCACTTTTCATACACAGATGTCATGTCCTCAATGTAAACCGAATTGTATTTGGTGATTTCGGAAATGGCTTGCTCGTACTTCTCGCGGCACTTTTGCACTTGATCTTTGGTCTTTTGCACGCGATCGTGCATTTTCTTCACCTGCAACAAATGGCAAAAGCACATTAGCACCATTATCATTGGAATTAGCATATTCCAAGGACTATTTTTTACCTGATCGGGAGAGAGCGAACTGTCGGCATTGGCATTGCGCTCTTGGTTCGTTGCGCTGCGCTCTGTCTTGCAGGCCGAGTGATAGTCGGCCTTGGCCTTCTCGACCTTGGCCAGCAGCTTGGCCCACGGTTTCTGGGCCTTCTTGAACATATCCTCCATATCCTTGCGCTCCTTGATCTGCATGAGCGTGTGATGGTAGTTCTCCTTCTGCCACGTCTTGATCGAGCTGTTGACATCGTTGCACAGGCTGTCCTTGATCTTCATGTGCACATCGCAGACGCGCTCAGACTCCGTCAGCACGCCCTTCCAGGCCGCCTCGGTGGTGCCGTATTCCGGCCCTGCAACCAATCAAGCGTACATATCTCTTACACAAACTGATCCCCAATTATTTATAGATTATACAGTTGTCGCCTGCAGTTGACGTCATCCTCTCAGGCGCCCCTACGGTGTTTCGAACACGAACCATTACGATGGGGAGCACTTCTACGTTTTATCTAATCACTGAACGAAACCCAAGCCATTCGCGAGTCGAGGAGCGTGCTCTAGAGAATATCGGATTGTATGAGTCGTGCGATCGTCAGCATGTGTGTGGTGTGTATCTGTGTGTGCCTGAGTGGGTCTAAAAAATACCTCACATTTTTGGCATTTTTTATTGGGCGCTAACAAAGAGCGCAAACTGTAATCAAAATTTATACGATGCTCGTCTCATAATTGGAAATGCACGAAACTCGTTTGACTAACGACAGACTATTCTCAATCGGATGCCCTCATGCCATCAGCCCCACTACCCCACCTCTACACACACACAGAGATATATAGAAATTGAGACGCTTAGCACAGAAATAACTCGTTCTATTTTCCCCGTCGCATTGATTTTTGAAACCATTTCAAGCGACGCTTTGGTGCCGGCTTGGTCTAGTCTGGATGGGCACTAGCTGGAGCTTCTGCCTCTGCCTCTGCCTCTTTGCCTCTCTGCATCCGTTGCCTCTGACTCTGGCTAGACGCGAAACTAGGCAAATTCCGCTCGTATACGTGGGGACAGCATAAGAGTAGGCAGTTTGGAAGTGCCCGGGACGGGAGTAGGCGGCGCGAAGGTGGAAGAAGTAGCCGCTTTTGCAATTGGCTTTTGCTGGTTACTGTGAAAGTGGACAGCAACAGCTACAGCAACAGAAACAGCCGCCAGCAATGAGGCAAAGCGGTTCGTTACCAACTTTGCAAACGCTGTACTCGATTTCATTTCGCGAAGAAGCGCGCACACAGAGCGCACACTGTGCTGGAAATCCATCAAAAATGGCTTGAGAGACCCCAATTTATGGGTTCAGAAATTGTTTTGGGAATAGCAAAAGACCTTTGAAACTACAAACGAGTACAGATATGAAGGGAATAGATCAACAAGCTGTAATGTATGTGCTCTGCTCCGTCATAAATCCCTAAAAGTTTATTAGATCAGCTTTTTGAATTTGGTAGAGGTCGAAAAACAGCAACAAAAAAAAAACCTCTTATCAGCGAAATTAGAGTCGGTCATCAATGTTCCGCATCATGCACACGCTATGAATGTTGCTTTTCTAGGGCATTCTCTTTTGCAGCATTCGCTTGTGCGTCTCGAATCGATCATCAATAAGTGGCGTCATGTGGGTGCAAGGACATGCCTTGCCTTCTCAAAGGAACCTCATTAGTGAGTGGAATAAATTTCAAATAATATTAAATATCAAATGTTTAAAATACTATTAGAAACCTCAATGAAAAATAGGTTAATCCAAAAACTATTTAGGGATAAATCATGAAATAAGATAACTATAAAGTTATAGGATAGTAAAATGGTCAGCTACCGAATTGTGGTAATTGTAATCCGAGTAAAATTCTTTCTATATTGAAAATTTTAAGTAAAAAATAAAAATCCAGGTTCTAAAGTCAAGTCTTTATAGCATAAATGCACCCCCCATCAAGATCATGAATAACATATTTCCTTAAAGCGTTTCTGCAATTTGATGCCACTGTGCGATGCCTCAGGCGCTGCTTCCATCAGCGTCTCAGTCGATGGTAGTGGACAAAAAAAAACGAGGTAACAACAACAAAAAGCCCATTAATAGCTTAAGCCACTTATCGCACAACGGCAACAACAATGCTCAGAATGATGTACAGAATGTGGCAAATAGGAACAGAGACAGCCAATGGGCCAGGAGACAGGGGCAGAGGCAGAGGCAAGAGTCAGCTGTGGGAAGACAACATGACGCAGTCGTCAACGCCGGCAGCGGGTCACTTGCGCGCTCCACTGGGCCCCCACCGCCTACCAGGGCGTGAATGAATGTGTAAGACAAACAGTATGGCTACACAGCGTGCGAGAGACGAAGATGAATGTCTCATTCCATAGTAACAGCTACAGAACACCCACACGACACCAATACACTCCATCTTTACTCCATTCCACTCCACTCCACTTCATCGCAGTTCCAATCCCACCTGATCTGACTGCGTTTGCTTACCTTTCTCAATGAAGTCACCCCATTTCTTTGACCAGGTGCGCAAGCTTTTTGCATATCCCTTTTCGATGTCGGCTCGCTCCTGAATCAGTTGCTGTAGGTCATTGCAGAGTCTGCGCAAGAGAGGGAAAGAGAACAGAAATAAATAATAAAGCAGGAAGTCTTACTACGGAGTGCCGAAGCTTAAATACCCTGGAAGATCTTTAAAGCTTTCTTCTTCTATACAAAACAACATAGTTTTTCACAAAGAGATCGTTTCAATGATATAATGTTACATGGGAAGGAATATTATTAAATGTGCGTTGTAGATAAATGCATAAAAGGGACAGACAGACCTAGAATAAAAGTAGTCTCCGATGCCAGTGCTACAGTTAGGTTAAGTTTTAAACTAATATTATATAAAATAAACAAAAATATATATAGTTTATGCTGTCACTGATTCTTCCTTCTTTGCGGTACAAACATCTAAACAAACTGATAATACCCTGCACATGGGGTATAATGGGTACAACAATGAAAACTGGTTTCACTTGATTTCTGCTGGCAATGACCCAACACCACTGTTGTGGTACAACCGTTGACAGAGCATCATTGGGGTGGGGAGGGCAGGGGAGGACAGGGAACGGTGGTACCCTATTCGGAACTCACTTGTAGCCATCCTCAATGCGCTTGGTGGTGCGTTTGTAGTTGCCGGGCTCCCAGAAGGAATCGCTTCCAGCCTGCAAGAGCTGATCATCGCTGTGGTGGGACATTTCCTGTGGATTCGAGGGTTGGAGGATGTCATTAAATTAGAAATTAATCAAAGGAATCAATCAACAAGTGACACACGCGAGGCGGGCAGAACGATATATTCATAAATTATTTGAGTTGCGTAAATAGAAGTAATCTCTCTGCCTCCCTCTCTCTCTCTCTTAGACCGTAAAACAACCATGTTCTTTGTTTATAAGAAAAACTTGTAGGTTTATCTCAGGGCAACAAATTGCTTTATGCCGCGATTGTTTGTTAAACAATCTCGTATGTACATATGTATATATGGTAGGAAGATTGTTTAGTATATTAATTGTTTGGTTAACAGTTCTAGTCTGGGAATCTGCATGTACATACATAAGTGTTAGGTGAATTTGAGATCATACAAACACATATAATCGGTTTATGTTTATTCTCAAAAGAAATTCGCTTAGAAAGTCCAATTACTACCGTAAAATGCAGAGAGTGCCAAAAACTAGCACTCGTAAGCACTTAATTCACTAAATTCGAGGCCAAATGGTTGTCGAAATTGCAAACAAGACATTTGTTGTGCGTAAACAAGAACACGAAAGTGACCATTGGCAACGTGCTGGAATGCGATCGGTAGATCTAGCCCACCTAAAACCCAAATCGGAATCAGCCTTGAGGGTGATTACCGTTGAATTTTTAGTCTTGTGCGTAGTGCGGGCACACTAAAAGAACGTTTTTTTATGGATCAGATATTTCTTGAACGCATTCCTTTTCAATGGTTTTTTTTTCTAGCGACCCCGTTGATAAGAAAACATTTACTTTTGTGAGTCACTGATAGTGCTCCACTTTACGTAATCCATTCTCATTGCGTATAGACTAGAACATCGATAGCGTCTCAGTCGAAAATAGTCGAAATTAGGGAAATTCCTTATCTTATCAGGGATCAATGGGGAGGAGTTTGTATGTCCGTCCGCCCATCAGCTGTTTGTAAACAAATGCAGCAAATGCTTCACACACAAACACACACACGCACACAAATTGTTAACGTAGCTGTTATGTTATCATCAGATAATGACCAGCATGGATAATGTGGGGGGGCATTGTGCATCTTTGAATAGGAAATTTTATCGTTCATTCACACACACACACACACTACACTGATGACACGTCTGACATGTCTTTGATTTTGGGCGTCATCCATCGCCAAGCCACATATTTGTTGTCATTGCCATCCGTCGCTTCGCGATCCGATCGGTATTGCTTACGGTGATTGTTTTATAGTATTTCCATCAGGTTTTTCAGGTGATTCGCTTGCGCGGTTATAAATTTAGCTGCATGCAGTCATAACTACTACTTATTTAGCATTGGTTTGGCGAGGTATTTGGGATTTGCTGCTGCAGCGGCACCGCTGGAGTAGTAGAAATTTCCAACGGAAAGTATACGAAACAGGTTGACGCATACTTCGCATATTTGTGGAGATAGATAAGCAGCACAGCACAGCACACACAAACACACACACAGCGAGATAAGCGAAACTCGTTTATCTTAAAGATTGAACTTCTCGTTGGGTGTTTTTTTTTCTTTTTAGGCCTATTAACAGTAAATATATGCATTTCTATCCAGGCACCTTACATAAGGCCACGCCGAGGGAGAGAGAGAGGTTGAGGGAGAGAGATCTCATCTGTGCGCACAGCAAATTGCTTCCTTTTTTGCTTTAATTATTAACAAGCGAAGCGTACGAAGAACACTTGCTGGCCGATGGGATTTTGTTGTTGCCAGACTCACACCTATGCACACACCACCATAGCGCACACACACACATCCACGGGCACACGCATTGAAATTCCGCTACACCCAAAGCAAACCGTACGCGTTTACATGAGTGTTCCAAGTCCGTTCTGTCGCTCTTGTTTTTCCCTATTGTGTGCGCATCGCAATTAATTAAGCACACGGGACAGGGGTTGGCACAAGATGCCTGCCCTGTTTTAGACCTACCAAATAACAAAATAGCGTAAAAAGCACTAGTTCGAGTCGCCAACTAAAAAAACTATGTGCGGTAGACAGTGTGACCGCGGTTTTAACCATCGTCCGGCCCTCGCGAATATACCGAAATATACCGTCATATTTGCAAAATATACCGAAAATATACTGATGAAAACCCGAACTTAGCCCACTTAAGCACCCTCTATTTAAATAGTTCAACTACTTGATGTAAATTCCGGAAAATATTAACGATTGTAAATTCTTCTAGATTCATCTCTGCTCTGAACTTAAAAAAAAAACCACTATATCTTTCACCCAACCTGCGCTAACATTATTAAATTTGGCTTATAATAGGTTAATCGTTCTCCGTCAAGGATTGGAAACCGTATTGTTAAATTTTGATGTTCCGTCGAATATTATTAGCTATATAGAACATTTAGCCATGCCCACATAGTTTTATAAGATTGATGAATCATTTTTCTAATTAACTGGCTTAGTCTTAACACTTGCTTTTATTGAATTTTGCGTAAAAAAAGGTTATAGCGAAATAGGTCAAACAAAAAAAAGGTTCTAGCGAAAATGGGCAAACAAAAGAAACGAGGAGGATAGTCGGTTATATTGCTATATTTTGATATTCCGTGGAATATTACTAGCTAGCCCTCAGCCCTTAGCACATAATTTTATCTTGTCTTGTGACACTGATTATGGTTGTATTCCACTACACTACAAGTGAAGACCAATGAGCACCGTTGATTCATATACAGCAAATTATATCTGCGAATAAATTTATAGATGATCCTAGACCTCATTCGATAACAATTCCATACTATAGGTATACCTCGCTCTCACTGTAATAATGTTTTTACTACTGCCAGTAAGTTACTGGTTTGGTCTCACGGTCTTCAAATCAAGTGTAGGGGATTACGAACTTCACTAGTTCCGCGATCCCAAATCCGCACTAAAATTTAAAATACAAAGAATTGCTAAATGTTGCTATAAGAACTTTACCCTGAATTGTGCATAACAACAATCGTGTATAGTTAGTTTTCTATAGTTCCGTTTGGCAAAACCAAATGTTTTCCCTTCTGATTTAAAAAAATAAATAAAAAATCGTTGGTTGGACTTTCAGAAACTTACAATCATGAACATTAGGGAGCTCACCATACCCTGGACGCAAAGGGAAATGAGACGGTCCATTTTACGAAGGAACACAAATTTAGCCAGACAAAAAAATAAACAAAATTTGTGATACGAATGTGTTTGTGTATTTTGAATATTGACGGAGATTTCAGAGGACCTCTTCCCTTTTGACATACGACAAGAGAAACTCGATTTTCTTTGCCAACTGCGAAACTTTGCTTCTAGTCAGCTCTACGCTGCCGCTGGCCAGGGCAAACAGTTTCTGGAACCCGGCCTCTTGCGAAGCCTTCCGACTGATTAGTGCTTTACTTTGCTGGAGCAGGCGGAGGATGTCGCTCAGGGCGGCCAATTTGTGGTCCCGCGTGGCCATGAGCTGACGGGCATCCAGCTTCAACTGCTCCCGGCTCTCTACGAAAAAGTTTGTGCCCACTCCGGCACTGCCCACTGCCGCAGCGCCTGCCGGCCCATTGCCCGTGGTGATGGCCTCCATTTCCACAGAGATGATGGCGTCTTCAGCGTCCTCAAAGTTGGTGCCGTACTTGAGGGTTGCGCTGAGATTCACTAGATGGGCGACAGCCTCGCTGGCATTCGTTCGATGCTCGCCGGCGTAGAAGCGGGCCACGCACGCATACGCGCTCAATATGTTCCACAGGTTGTAGTGCAGGCAGGGCGAGGGCGTCTTCTGGCAAATATCCGAGAACTTTGGTATATTCTCATGGATTTCGGGGGTGGAGTCGTCTGTTTTTTTGGCTTCTCCTGGTGCAGGAATTTCAACAATCTTGGAGTTCTTCGCCTTGCCCCACCAGGGCTTGTAGTCCGGCATGAGCTTCATGATGTCACCGCTGGCAATCAGCTTCTGGAACTCGCCTTGTTCTTCCTCTGTTAGGCGGCTCCAAACCTCATCGGCGTCGTTGATGTCGATGCCCTTCAGGCGCGCAGCGATGTCTTCTTCCAGTTCCTCTTCAAAGGCTTGTTCTGGGTAATCACCAAGCTCTTCCTCATCACCATCTTCTCGTCCCTCCTCATTATCTGAACCCAGCGGATTGTCCAGTCCATCGGCGTCGAAATCTTTGGGATTGAAACCAGCGTCCGATTCCCGCATACGCTTCAGTATGTCGTAGATCTTTCTCATTTCCTCCTGGCTTTCCGGAGCCGTGGTCGCACCGGCCAGCTCGTCCTGTATGCAGGATTTGTAGAACTCCTCGGAACATTTCAGATGTGCCTGCGACTTGTAGCACGACACACTGCAGTACAGCGCATTGCACTTGGGGCAGCTGTACTTGAAAGGCACTGCGTGGCAGCTGGAGGGGAAGATTAATATAAATAATAATCCTTTAAAGCGGTTTCGCTACTTACAAATGACACTTTTCCTCGGCCTCCGTCATATTCAAATATCGAAATCAAAAATGCACAGTGTAAACAAAACAATGCGGCCGCAAAACAGCTGATTTGTGGCCTTTTTAGTTTTTGTAAAAACGCGCTTATCGCATAAAAATATCGATAAGAACCGGTGCATCCATAAGATACAGAAAATTAGCGGGAATATCTAATCTTAGGAAGTGTAAAAACAGGAAAATAGTGTAATTTACTCATAAAAACAGTTCCGTTGATATTCTATCCACATCCACCTGGAACTCCAACCATTTTCGCAGGTCGAAAATATATCTCCTCAAAATATCAGAACAAAACATATATCGATATATTGGCAGATCCCAATGAAAATCTCTAACTCCCCCCCTTCCGTTTTCGACCAGCAAGTTGCCTGGTTCAGCGCTGCTCAAAATAAAAAGATTTGAATATCTCGACCAGAGAAATTGCTAAATAATGGTAAATATGCATCCCCCAGCGTGTCAACCGTGGTTCCAAGTAGTTTGGAGCTACGGAAAGGGAAAACTATATGAAATAAACCGACGCACGTGCTGCGAGATTCAACATAACCTCACTCTAACAAATGTATTCCACATCGACAGGCTGCTGCACCCAAGGACATTGAGAAGCCCCATGGCGGCGATTCTGCTTCAGTGCACCGCATCCGCATCACCCTGACCTCCAGGAATGTGCGTTCTCTGGAGAATGTGTGCCGTGACTTGATCAACGGTGCCAAGAACCAGAATCTGCGTGTCAAGGTGAGTCGGAGCCCCGATCTGGGCCCACAGCACAATATGTGCTTTCGAGTCCGCATTTACCTGGAGGCTTTGTGTTCCGCCAGACGCTTAGCCTAGTCTTTAATAAATGCCATAGAAAAATGCTTGAATCGGACATTATTCCCACATTGACTGCCAACAGTGCGGGAATATTATATGGTTCAAGCGATAATTGACTAAAATCCTATAGAAGCGTGTGCTAATGACGTACTTTTTCTGTTCCAGGGCCCCGTACGCATGCCAACCAAGGTCCTGCGCATCACCACCCGTAAGACTCCTTGCGGTGAGGGTTCCAAGACTTGGGATCGTTTCCAGGTGAGATCCTTATTTAACATTTATTACCACTTGAATGGGCAGATCTGATATCGTGGTTCGGTATTTAACCTGCCGTTGTACAGTATCATATGCGGTCTGCCCAGACTAAACGTGTTCTCATAGTCCTCTTTGCTGATTCTCCTCACAATTTGGCTCTCCGAATTCGACAATCCCTTCAGCTGAAAGACTTATTCAGCAAAACTGCGACATATCAGTAATTTGAATCTCTATTTTCGTCCCCTTTCAGATGAGAATCCACAAGCGCATCATCGACTTGCATTCCCCGTCTGAGATCGTCAAGAAGATCACGTCGATCAACATCGAGCCCGGCGTAGAGGTTGAGGTTACCATTGCCAACTAAGAACGGCTGATGTCCTTTTTCTACAAGTGAAAAAGTTTTCAAATAAAACCGAAAACTTTTCTTAAATTGTCCTTGTGTGAACTTTATTGGAAGTGGTTTTTGTGCGAATTTCGTAGGGAAATGCATGTGTACTGGAATGTTTTCTAAGGCTCCGCAAATGGGTTGACGGTCTTAATAGTAGTCTGGCACCGGGGCGCAAGCAATCTTGACAAAGTCTGCGTACCGCACGCTGCTATTGCTGTTGACATTAGCCTCACGGAAGATATTATCAACCTCGCGCATAGAGAGGCCCTCGCCCCAGTTTTGCAGCAGGTTGCGCAGCTGCCGGGCAGATATGGTCCCCTTGTTCTGTGCATCGGCTGCCTTGAAGGCGGCGATGACCTCGTCCGGCAGACTCTCCACCTTTGAGTGCTGATGCATAATGTCTAGAAAATCGGCGAAGCTCATTTTTCCATTCTTCTGCTTCAGGTATGAAACCAGTTCTTGGATCGTCGGCGACAGACCGAGCGAGCGCATGATTACCTAGAACAAGGTATTGTGGTTAATATGAGTGCCGTGCATGAATAACACTTACAGTTAGTTCGTCCAGATTGTTGATTTGGCCCGAACGGGCGAACAGATAAAAGCACTCGCGGAACTCTGCATTAGAGATAAGAAATGTTTTCAGAATGAAATCATCAATGCGTCGTAGCAATAATTACCATCTATATCCTGCTCTTTGAAGTAACGCGCCTATAGAGAATTTACATGGATAGAAAGTTGCATAAAAAGAAATGGTTAATGGGGGCAGCCAAGTGGAAAGTGCAGCAGTCGTAGAAAGCGATTCTCCCACTTTTTCGGACTTTTTAGGGAACCACGACTTACCATATTTAAAGTATTTTTACTACACTAACAAATTGAACAAACTAACAATAAATAAGGTAAACACAATGGACGGAAAACGCAAATAAATAAAAAAAATAAAACGAAATCAAACAGGTAGTAGAGTAAAAGTGTGACCACAATGTATACTGGAAATATGTCGAGTTTTTGGGTGTGGAAGCACTAATCTGCTACTCTTTTTCTCTTTTGCAGCACTACAAACTCGATAAGCGATAGACTTCGATGTTAAAGCGCGGAAATTTAAAGATGTTCGTTTGACTGCAAAAGACAATCTTTGGAAAAATAGCAAATATGAATGTGTTGTCGTCATAAAAAATATTGCGAATTACTTAGTTTAAAATCAATCGTCTCAACATTTATTTTTAAAATTTGATATTAAGTAAATCCACACTCAAGCAAACACGCTAAAGAAACACCAAAAGATTTCAATTAAAATGTATTTTGTTGCGACACAATTACACAAGTCAGAGCACACGATTTGTTGTATTTAAATATTAAAACAACATCATATAGTTATTGTACAATTAAAATATTTGCCTCCCCTTCCTTCCTCGCATACAAAATCTGAAACTGCACCTGATGATCTTAAAAACTAAGTACGTCGTCTCCTCATCAAACAAGAATTTATAGTAAGTTATGCGTGGCACGAGCCGCTCAAAATGAAATTTGTGAACATCAAAAACTATGAAATAAATCTTAAAAAAGCAATAGGCTAATAATTTGTGTCGAAATATTGTAAGATAGTCGAAATATAAGTTGCATTTGTGGTGGTTATTTCTGTGGTTAGATAGTAGTTAAAGGCCATTTTCGCTACATTGCGCGTATCTGGCTAATGGGCATTAAAGCGCTTCCGTCTCATCATATACCGTATTCATAAGTACGTCGTCGCTTCATCTTGCTAGCACTAGTGCACGTTAATAATGGACTCGCGGCCCTTGCCAACGCCCACCCAGCGCACGGGCACGCTCAGCTCTTTCTCCAGGAAGCGAACGTAGTGTTGTGCGTTCTCCGGCAGCTCCTTGAAGTTGCGTATGTGCTCCGTGGACGTTTGCCAGCCGGGTAGTACCGCGTACTCCACCTCGATGTTGCCCAGCTCGGCAATGGTGCCCGGGAAGTGATCCAGTTTGTCACCATTGGCTTTCTTATAGCTCACAGCCACCTTGATCTCCGGCAGCGTATCCAGGATATCCAGCTTGGTAAGGCAAATGCACGTGTAGCCGTTCACCAGCGAGGTGTACCTCAGCAGCGGTATGTCCAGCCATCCACAACGGCGCTTTCGCTTCGTGGTCACGCCAACTTCAAAGCCGCGCGTCTGCAGCAGGTCGCCAATTTCCTAAAAATATCAAAGGATTCTCATTGGTAAGCAACCTGAATCCCTTTCCTTTTTGACGTTTCACTCACATTCAACTGCTCGGAGGGGAAGGGGCCGTCTCCCACTCGCGTCGTGTAGGCCTTGACCACGCCAATGACTTCGCCAATGGTCTGAGGAGGCAGGCCCAGACCGGTAAGGACGCCGCCAATGCTGCAGTTGCTGCTGGTCACATAGGGATACGTGCCAAAGTCAATGTCCAGCATGGCCGCGTTGGCGCCCTCAACCAGGATGGTCTTGCCGTTGCGCAGGGCGGTGTGTAAGAAGCAAATCGTGTCCTTGACATAGGGACGCACCTTCTCAGCGTAGTCCCTGTAGCGGGTCAATTCCGCCTCGACGTCGACATTTATCGATGGGAACAGCCGCAGATGTGTGGCCACAATCAACTTGAACCTGAATACAAATTTCAATAAGTTACAATCCAGCATATGGGGCGGGATGACGATTGGGGCCACTCACTTGTCGCTGAACGCATTAAAGTCGCCCAGAAGCTCGCCCACACGGATTCCGTTGCGGGTGGCCTTGCTCGAGTAGGCCGGACCGATGCCCTTCTTGGTGGTGCCCAGGGACTTTCCGCCCTTCTCAGCCTCCTGCATGCCATCCACATGCTGGTGGAAATCAAACACCAAATGCGCCCGATCCGAGATGATCAGCCGGTGCTCCAAGTGCTGCAGACCCTTGGCCTCGTTCTTCAGCACCTCATCGAACAGCGAGGGCAGGTGAATGACAACACCATTGCCTGAAAGTGCACAAAAAAAAAAATTACGTCAGGCCTTTGAGAATATCTGGGGGATCCCCCCAACTGCTGCAACTGAACATTTGATGGGTAATAAATGAAGCAGGCTATTGCGCGTCTGGCAGTCATGTGACTAATGCCATTGCAGTGCAGTACGACTTACATAAAGGCACTAAAGCTGGCCCCCATTCTCTCAGGTTCAGCTTGATCTCGTTTCTTAACTAATAAGCATGTTCTCGGAACTTATTTCCTGCATTTTAATACAATTTGTGTAAAATTTCTCAGAAAACAGCAATCCAATGCTCCATAGAACCCCTAAAACAAGTTGAGTCTCTTATCTAGTAAGTCCTTACACGAGCTGTTACGTTATCGACTGGTTTTTATACTAGGTACATCCAGTTTTTATAGGATACATATGGTCACTAATTTCTCGGAATTGTGGCGATAAGGTGTAACTTGCACAAGTTCGCTGTGGATCTTGCACGTCTGCTACCAAAACGGAATGCAGGCGGAATCAGGTGGTTTGAATCTTTATGAGAATCCCCCATATATCTTTCACATTCCGACAGACAATTTCATAACAGGCTGACGTATTGCGAAGCCCGTCGAAACGATTCGGGCACGCGAGCTGAGCGGGTTCTGTTCCACAAATTGGGCATGGAATAAGTTTGGAAATTAAAAATAATAAGCTAATTGCCTGATTAGAATAATTTGTTCCTCTCTCCCCCCCCCCCCTTTGCGGTTGATTGTGTGGGTGGGTGGTTGTGTTTGTGTGTGTGTCGTAAACGATATCTTAACAGCACCGCAAACACACACACACACTCGCGGAATTTCAATGGGGGGGGGGCTTTGTTCTGTTCTGTTTTGATTATCTCATAAATTAGTCTTGTGACAAGCGATGAGAATGCACAATTTGTTGTTGCTGCTGCTGAGTAAACAATGTCACAACCTACAACATCGATTAAACTTTGCAGAGCAGAAGGGCAGCCAGGATAAAAGTAACCAGGAGAGAGTGGTACACTCGTGAATAAGTTGACTATGACGACCTTGGTGACGTCATTGGCAGGCAGCACCAGGCACAGAGCGTAATCAACTTTTCCGCTCAACTTTGATTTAATTATTTGAATTTTCCCACCGTCCGGCCCGGCCCGGCCCATTCACGAAAATAGAAAACCTTTTATTTTCATGGGCGAGCGATATCAAAGTCGAAAACAGACCCCTCTGACTGACCCGCAAGCCAATGTCAATGATGCACTATATCTTGCCAGAAATTCCTCCATATACACGGGTATATGGTATACATTCAATTTCGCGAAAACAAAATAAACGAAAAGAGGCAGAGTATATATGTATGTATGTATACATTTGTAGGGACAGTGGAATCTCTCTCGGCATCGACCACTGTACGATTAATATGGTTACAATTTCATTAAATTTAAAATAAGAAAATCAAATGTAAAAGGAAAGAAATCGTTGGCTTACTTTCAATTGAAACCCCTTCTTGACAGACATTTATCTTGCTTGGCCTTAGGCCTTAACTTGCATTTCTTGACTCGATGATCCACGGTATCATTGCTCTCAAAACTTACCAATCACCGAGATGCACTTCTCGTTCACGACGCCGCTCGGCAGTAGATGGAAATCGAACTCGGTGCCATTGGCCACCACAGTGTGCCCAGCATTATTGCCGCCCTGTGCGAATGAAAGATGAAAAGAAAAACATTTCAGAAAATCTGCCAAATGATATAATATATGTATAAATATCCCCCATCCATGTCCATACACACATACATATATCGAAATATATGTAGAAACATTGTATAAATGTTGATATACAAAATTAGCAAAATTGTTTGTTTTGTTTTCGCTTGTGTTACGGCAGAGAAAAACAAAACCCGTGCGAAATGAAAAATAAATAAAATATTTTTTTTTGTGTCAATTGAATAACAGCCGTCCCGTGTTTTTCGAGCACATTTTTGGGGCCATCAGTGCCCACGTGCCCCACACAGTGTCGCATGAAATCGAAAACGTTCCACACACACACACACACATACACAGAACGCATACAAATACCTATAACTATTATAAAGAATTTCAGAGATACGCTAACACCCCAGGTTGACGGCAGAAAGAAATTTTATTTGTTTTTCTCTTTCCTTTTGGCAACTGTACAAAATTTGCTTGACTTTTGCTAATCTAACATTATATACTATACAGTAAAGAACATAGAAAATGAAAAATGTGTGTCTGTATATAATGGTGATTAGGCAGAGAAAGAGAAGAGTGAATAGTCTGGAACCTTCACAAATCATTGCGAAAAAACAAAAACAAGACAATCAAAAAAATGTTTACGCCGTACCACGGACAGACCATACAATTCGTACAACTTTTGTATTCCTGAGCCATGATAAGATACGAGGAAATGCCGAGCCGCGATTATAGTCCCAGATCCGGACCCCGTCCGTGGCCTTTCACTGCGCAATATGCGTAATAGGAATCGCCGAGAGGCGTGTCAGTCGTGTGACTCAGTCCACAGAATTATCAGTTATATAACAAAGCTGCTCTGATAAGAGCTGCTTCAGCTCTGCGGTGTTGCTAGGAGATGCATCGACATACCCAAAGAGGAGAAGGGGGACGGTACTCCGACTCCGGCTCCATTTCATATCGTTCATTGAACTAAAGTAGTTCTGGGCACAGGCCCAAGCGCATATCAACAAGTTGTCATTGGGACATAGACCATCCGGCACGCAATGCTCAGTTCGAACGAAAAAAGCGGAGAGGATTACCGTAACCCAGGGATTGCGGGAATCTGCATTGACATGACTGCATGTGCCCCCGTGGGGGCTTTTCTCTCAACGGGGCATGGCATGGCATGGGTGAATGATGTTGGTGGTTATGTAAACCTGGCTGGTGGTTCTGGGTTCTGCTGAGCAAGAACAGATGTGATGTGGATGTGGGAACAGCACAGCGGAAAGGAATTAAATTAACGTCAGTCGAGGGCGAGAGAGCGTGAGAGAGCACAAGTGACGAATTTTGGTTGGCAGACTCGCTGACGGAATACACACAAACACACATACACATGTACATGTGGTATATGTAAGCGATTCGAACCGGGGAATAGGAATGAAAACGGGCAAGATATATAGAATAAAGAAGGTAAGGCTGTTCCAGATACTGTACAGAAAAATGGAGACTATTATCATATTCTCCAACTGTTTTGAGAAGCATTACACCATATGCAGATGCATATGACACAACGCCGATTCCTCACCTTCTATAGAATATACTCTTGGACCCGGAACGGGCACACACATGCGCCGCGCCGAACCACACACAAACACTTGAGCAAGCACAGACGCCGACACATACACAGCCACATGGCGGGCGCAGAATTGATAAATACAAATGAGAAAGCATGCGGCGGCGATAATAGTTGGAAAAAAGACCATCTACTTGTGAAATACTCAGATGATGCTGAGGCGACAATGGCAGCCGGGTGAGCGGCATTGGATGTCCTTCAGACAAGGATGTCATGGGATTATGGCCGCGTTATCAGTCGCTCTACTTTACCCCCCAGAGATTGATTGGCCTGGTTACTCACCTGACACCTGCACACGATGTCCACTTCGGAGGCCAGCATGTCCACCACCTTGCCCTTGCCCTCGTCACCCCACTGGGCGCCCAGGACAACGTCCACTTTCGACTTGTACATATTCGTCCGTCCTTGGTGCAGTTGCTCGTAGAGATTGCCGTTGATGGCGTTTGTTGTTGACATTGCGACGGCTCAAGCACGGAAAACGGCGACAAGAACGAACACGTTGTGACCGCGGTAGTGATGTGATGCTCGAGCAGCGATGTTATTTTGCCGATGTTTGCCGATGTTTACCGATGTTTTTGCTGCTACCACTAACCATACAGTTTAATTTTACAGCACACAGCGACTATAGTATAAACTTGTAGTTTATTTACAAGATATTTACAAAAGCATTTACAAAAGGTACTTTTTTATATTTTAGTTTGATCCACAATGAAATGTAAAGGACTGCTATGAAAGCTCAAGTTTAATTTTTCCTATGTTAAATATTTGTAAGATTTTTTTTTTATAACAATAACGCTATGAAAGCACCAGTAAACAGCTAAAATAACATAAAATATTCGTTTTATATTCAAATAGGAAAGTTTGAAACATCGGTCATACCTCGATGCATCGGATGTTTTGATTTTGACTATAGTCGTTCATATTGTTCAATTTATAGATTCCGTTGAATAATTCTGGCTAACTAAAACCCCCAGCCCTGCCCACATAATTTTATCCGATTAATGAATCAATTTTCTACCTTACTGGCTTATTTTAAACACTTGCTTTTATTGGATCTTGTCTGAAAAAGGTTTTAGCGAAATAGGTCAAACAAAAAAAGTTTTAGCGAAAGAGGATAGTCGTTCATATTGTTCAATTTTGATATTTCCTTGAATAATTCTGGCCAACTAAAATCCTTAATTCTGCCCACATAATTTTAGGCCGCTGATGAATAAATTGTCTTCAAGATTGGCTAATTTTTAGTCCTTGTTTTTCTATAACAAGGTTTGTTCCAGTCCCACCTGAGCGACAGTTGGCCCAGGGCTGAGGGCAACACGCCATCTATCGGGATTCCAGGAAGACTTGATGGTGAATTGTGACATCGGGGGGGCTGGGATCCGCTACAGGATTAGCTATTATTTTAGCGTGAAAATTATCAAAAAGCGGGGACTGAGTTATAGAAATCATAGATCGTGGACGCAAGGGTAAAGCCGACTCAGAACCGCCGATTTGTGTAGTTAAACCCAAAATTTGAATGTGAGTACAAAAAAAAGAATGCGGGCCACTCAAATAGGGTTTTAACGCAGTATATTTAGCCGGCCCGAAATACAGCCACCGGAAACGTGCCAGAAGGTTAAATATACATCTTTTCATCTTGATAATACTCCTATACTATTTTAGTATCGGTTATATTGTAATTAATAATACTTAAAAAACTTAACACACGAGGGTACAATTTGTGACTACCGTGTTGAAAGCCGCTATCAATACGATATAACAAAAATATTTTGATATGAATTATAACATGTATTCGGAAGCTGTTGAATGAGGAGCAGATGGTAGAATACTTACCATTGATTTCAGATGGTACTTTATTTCTCCCGCTTTGGTCTCATGGATGTGAGACGAGCGGTTTAAATATTTTATGGTTGTTTTTGACCCGCCAAAATCAAATTTAACTCTAGAAAATGTTTCAAATAATTAAAAAATTGGCCAAATATTCATCTTGGCAAAGAAAGTTTGCGTGTTTTTTCTCGACCTACTGTTGCTATTGCATCCGCGCTGGCGTTGGTTGCTGCTGCTGTGATCTTGTTTTAACTTTTTTCATTTTATTGACTGCATTTCCACTCAGGTTGATGTGAGATGGCAGAAGGCATCTGCAGTGACTGTTACTGTTTAATTATATCAATATCCACAGGTCTTCTGCACATTTTATTTACATGCAACAGCGTCAACAGGCATGGTAAAATATTGACATCAGAGTTAAAATGAACCAACAATTTGTCTCGATTTGACGCAGCTCTGCCTCCCAAAAAACCAACGACCAGAAAAAAATTAAGTGCCACAAAATTTAAAAAAGCGCTCAGTGGCGAGCAGTGTGACCGCAGATTTATTTATGAAATATACCTTTCAAACCCGTAGAAATATACCGCAGTATAGTCTCCTTTTTACATTACACAAAACACGTAATGTACAAGTTCCGGAACGGTACGTTACATGTAGTTAATTTTGAAATTATTAAATTCCGGTAAGTTCCAATAACCGCACAAAATACCTATCGATAAATGGTTAAAATTATATCTACCCAGCTACTGTGTGCACGGAATTCCTTGAATCTAAATTAAAATGTCCCTCAGAAAAATCGAAATATTTATCGCACTAAGCTAACGATATTTTTTGTAGCACCCCTGTGAGTCGTTGCGATACGTACCGATATAATTACTTAGTCTTTAACATCTCTAGCACATATGTTTTTTGTGGACTCTAAAATGATAACACATTCGATTTTCGTTCGCGGCAGCCAATGCACTTGTCCCTTCCCGAGATAGTTATAATTGTGGGCCAAAAGAAAATAACGCAGCAGATAGTTCAAGTGCAGCCAGCAACACAGTTGGTCAATCAAAGTCAGTGCTAATCGCGACCCCCCGCCACCCCCGCTCTCTCTTTGGTCTATTCCGAGCAGAAGAAATACGTACGCGTCGCAGCAACAACAAAGAGCCCGTGACCGCCGCGGCGTAACAATTTTTTATATAAACAAAATAGAAATCGAAATCACATTTGCACACACCTGTGAACCAGCAAAAGCCAACGAAAGTGCCACAATTGGTCGAGTTATATAAATGTAAACCGTAAATTACCAATATCGAACCCCAATTATGTTGATTTGTGTGCGAAAAGTGCACAAGATAAGCAGAACTACTACTCGTACTCGTACTACTCGTGCCATTAACGTAGTTCTATTCTGAGAATCGAATCCGACAACGCGTGCACAGAAGAGTAGCCAAAAAATAGATACAACAATAAACTAGTTGTTGCCAACCGGGAGTACGCTCTTCCGCCTCTTCCAACCAGTCTCTTGGGCCCAGCGAGCGGACCATCCTCCCAACTTCATTTGCATTTCCTTTGTGGATTACGGCGGCGTGTGTGCGCGTGTCACCCCCCGTTCACGGCCTAGTCCCTGAGAGCAGACGTCATCCAGAAAGCAAGGTTAGTTCTATTTTCACCATATCTTTCCCATATAGAGCGAGTGGGTCTTATAGTATATGCAGGCACTCCAACCAGAATAAAGCCACAAACCAGCCTCCCTGCCCTTCGACTTTTTCTCTTGTCTGATTGGCAATTATAATTGTAATTTCCCCATTGGGGGGAAACGGAACTTTGGCCTCCGCCGCTGCAGAGGAGCCACTATTTGGTTAGTTATGCAATTGGGTTGGAATACTGTTTCCACACACACAATCTTATCAATGTCTGGCGAAGAGGCGGCGGCCGCGGCGGCTACGTCTATCACAAGTTCTGGCCCATGCATCAGGGGAATGGAACATATGTTGAACAACTTTCTCCGGCCCCTCTCTTCTGGGCATTACTTCCCTCCAATCAATGTGCATTTCCTCAAACCATAATCCCACTTGAGGAGGCACTTGAGTTCTTCTATTACGGAACTGAATGAGTGGGCGCCGCCGCCTCTCTGCCTCGGGCCTCTCTGGTGTGGTGCCATGTCCATGTCCAGAGGCGGCATCCTGTTGCGTTGTCAACTTTTCTCATTTCCTTCTGCCTGCCTGCTGCTGTCGATGCTGTTGGTAGAAAGTCACTTGATTTCCTTGGCCTCTTCCCCGTTTCCCTAGTTTCCAGTTGCCAGTTCCCAGTTGCCAGTTGCCAGTAGTATGCCAAAATGAAATGTGCGACATCTGGCTGAGACAGAGACGAGGACGATGGCGGCGGCGATGACGAGGACAGGCACTGACACGCACAGAAAACTGGCTGAACGGCCTGAGCCGATATTACAGTTACATATGGATGTGAAGAGCGGCAATTTCAAAAATCCAAAATAAATTCCGAACAAAACATTGGCGGATGACGACGGTGCCGCATCTGGCTATAAAAAGCAAAAGTGAAAAAATGCCACACAGTCCCCGACGGCCACAGCAACAACAACAACAACAACAAGTAAAACAAGAAAGGATATTCGAGAGTCGATGCTAAGATACCCTTACTGATCCATTACTGATACTGATCTGTTGTTTACGTATGTATGTATCTTATTACGAGACCAAACATCTGCTCAAAATCGTAATGCTCGTTGTCTGCCCAGGGTATATGGCAGCGGACTCTGTCAAGTGCATTGGCGCTTCCTACTTTTTGTTGTTGTTGCTGCTGGTGTGTTTCTGGTGTTTCGTTTCTGTCGTTTTGGTTTCATTTCGTGTGGCAAGCCAACTAGAAATATTATTCAATTACAAGCCAATCCAGTTGTCTTACCCCGCGGGGGGGCGTCGGTCTCCCCAATTCGTTCGTTATTGTAAATTGCGAAAGAGTTTTTTCTTTTTTCTTTCGTTTTATTTTTGATGTATAAAAGCCAACGGCAGGAAAGAGATGGCTGCAACAGGCTGATCGACTTCGGGCTTGGCTGTGCTGCTGCTCTCTCTCTCGCACCATTTGCATTGGATCCAAATATTCGACTTCGAGTTCGAATTCCATTGGCGGCGATTTCATAATTCCCCTGCTCTCCATCCGCTGCTGCCCGCTCCGACCCGACTCCTATTTTGTTGTTTTCTTTTCTTTTTCTTTTTTCGAATTTTGTTTTTTAAACAAATTTATTTTCCAGCGCGCTTCTGCTTTTGGCTTTTTTTATTGCTTTTGTGGCCACCAGCAAGAGCTTGGGCAACAGCAACAGCAACAATAGGCAGACAACCGACAACAAAAAAAAGAGTGGCTTAAATGTTGGTAACTTTCTCCGCCACCTGCGGGCCGTCGCCGCCGCCGCCGCCGAAACTTACGCGCGTTTTCAACCGCGCACGCAGGCGCCTCTCTAGCTGTTGCCAAGTTGTGTCTCTCTTTTGCTCCTCTTTCTCTTTCGTGTGCCTTGGCTTCGGCGAAAGGTATATTAATTAGATGGTACGGTGGTGCCGCTCTCCAACCACAAGCATAGCACCTTGGTATCAATATACCCCTCGGGCCGTGTCCATATCCCTCTCTGTCTCTTTTCCTGTTATGCTTCAGCCTCTCCCTTTTACTCTTCAGCCAAGTC